TTCCCAGGCCACAAGCAGGGAGCTGGATGAGGAGTGAGGCCACTGGGATTAGAGCCAGGGCCCATGTGGGATCCCAGCACATGCAATGCAAGGACTTTCGCCACTAGGCTACCATTCCAGGCTCAGGTTGATACTACCTTCAAAATTGTAAATGCACAGGTGGTGCTGAAAGTGAGTGAAAATGGACGAGTCCCTCGGCAGCAGCAACGCCGACCTTCCAATCAGCCATGTATGGAAGCAGTGTGCAGTCCAGCCAGGGACACCTCAAACCTGATTGTCTTGTGTCTTGGGGTGAGTTGTGTCTCCCCAAAGACATATCGCAGGCCTATTTCTAAATATCCGTGAATGAGCATAATTTGAAAATAGGATCGTTGCAAATGTGATTAGTGGAGGGTGTATTGGATTAGAGTGGGTCCTTTTAAGGGAGAGTGGAACACACTGAGAAGGAGACGCACGTGATGGCAGAGGGAAAGGGCAGGGGAACAAATCTACAAGCCAAGGAGCACCAAAGAACAGTCAGCAATGCTGGAAGCTTCAAGAAAAGGACGCAATAGACACTCTCCAGAGCTTTCACGAAGAAGGCTGCGCCTTGGGAATGTCTTCATGCTTGTGTTTCTAGGATTCTAAGAGGGAAAGTTCTGTGTTCTCGGCTATTCGGCTTGTGCTAACTGCTATGGCCGCCCTAGGAAGCCAGCACACGTCGCTTACCAGTCCACTCCCTGTCTTAGCGCACTGGCCCTGGGCAGTCCCTCTGCCTGGGATGCTCCCCACATAGGTGTTTGCAGGGATATACAGGAGATGGTCTAACACAGCTGGGAGTCTGAGTAAGTGCCAGGGGAGCACACACCTACATCTCTGGCCTTCTCTGACTGCCTTCTGCAGAACACCACCCATCCCAGCACTGCTGCTAGTTCTTTCTCTTCTTTGACTCTTTCACCCCACTTTCTTGTCTGACTCTCCCAAGTAGACGACAGGCTCTTGGGAACAAGTATCCTGTCTGAGATGGTCACCGGAGCCTGAGCAGTTCTTGGCCTCCAAACAGGCACTTGGGGAGCGTTGGTTGACTATACAGGAGATGGTGGACAAGTAAAAAGGAACTACAGTCCTATGGCTTCGACTACCTGTGAAAATACTAATGCTCACCATAGAAATCCAGCAAAAGCACTTTTCGGAAGCCAAAAAAAATGATTTCTACGTGAGTGTGTACAAGTCCCTCCCCCTCCATTGGAAACTGTTTCTGTTTTCAAAACCACAACGTGGTCAGCTAAAGACCTCGAACGAGTGCAGGGAGAGCTTTCGGAAACTGAGTCTCACACTTGGAGTTTATAACCTCACATTTAGGCAGGGGGAGGAGTCGTGTGTGTTCCCAACAGAACAAATGCAGAGGCAGTCCACTAGGGGCACTCCAGCAAAGAGGGTGGGCTCAGCGCCAGTAACACGGGTCCACGGTCCGGTAACCATGGCGTAGGAATCACAAGATTCCCCGTTCACTGTGCACCAAGAAGCCACACCACTGTGCTGGGGATCCCTCCAGTCAGAAACACTAATCAGGTAGAAAGGACCAGGGCCCAGAATCCACTCAGGAACTGCAGCCACCAGGGGGAGCTCAAGCGGTTGATGGAAGACACTAGATATCAGGCAGCCATGCCACACCGCTCCCCTCCTTGCCTTGGAACCAGACCCAGGGTCACTGCAAGAGGCTGAGCAGTGTCCCCTGTTCTAGCAGGGCTCTCCTCAGAGTCGTGCAGTCCAGGTAGGAGCATCCTCCAGGTGTTGGATGAGCCCTGTGGCCATCACGGAATTGTCCAGACATTTGAGGGATTGAAAGGTCAGCATTGTGTGCAGGGAAGTGGGTTGCCAGAATCCCACATGGGTGCAGGCTGGTGTCCTGGCTGCTCTACTTCCACTTCAGTTCTTGCTTGTCCTTCTCTTCCCCATGCCCTTCACATCCACCAAGCCAGAGCCACCAGGAAAAAATGAGAAGACATTTATTGAATCATCTACAGCAGTTGGACATCTTTAAAATCCCAGACAAGGTTGTGAGCACAGCATTAATGGCAGTTGCGGTAGCATTGAATCTGTGGGCTTATCGTTGTTGTGGGAGCTGAAATCCAGGCTGTCCAGCTCCAATGAGTGATGAGCCTGGATACACATCTGGGATGCCAAGGGCTGCACCACTCCAGCCCCGACAGGCACAAAGCTACAGAAGACAGACATAGACAAGACAGACACGGCCAAAGTCAGACACATCCCAGGACCTTGAGTTCAGGGAAGGAGAGGAATGGGAATGTACCACATCCTCGAGGGATTTCCAGGTGGTTAATGTCACCCTAACCAACAAAGTGAATTGGCTCATCATGACAGAGCTGGAATTGTGTGTCCACGAGAGCCCACTGGCCTGCAGCTTGCCCCCAGTGCTGGTGGTCTTACAAATTGGGTCAAGGTTATCCCAGGAGGGCTCAAACAGCAAGGAGTCCCTTCATCCCAGTAGCAAGCCAATAGCAAATGTCCTTTCATGCAAGAGGGCATCTCACTGGAACCCTGTCCTCGGCCCGGGAAGATGATGCACTATTGCCTGTGTCTGTAAAGGCCAGAACTTTCTGAAATATTCAAAATATATCAGATAGGGGAAGCACTGTGCTGTAAGCAGGTAAAACTACTGCTTGTGGAGCTGGCATCCTGTGTGAGAGTCAGATCAAAACCTAATTGCTCCACATCTGATCCTGTTCCCTGCTGATGGCCTGGGGAAGCAGTAAAGGATGGCCCAAGCCCCTGGGTTCTTGTACCTCACATGAGAGATCCAGAAGAACAAGCTCCTGGTTTTGAACTGGCTCAGCTCTGTCCTTTGAGGCCATTTGAGGTGTGAACCAACAGATGGAAGATCTCTCTCTGTAACTGCCTTTTAAGTAAATAAATCTCTTTAAAAAAACCAATACATCTACTCACAAGACCAGGGAAACATCATTTGGATAGAAAAAGGACTGCCCACAGGAGACAGGGACACCAGAGGCCTTGCCTTGTCTGCAGGGCTCAGGAGGCAGTGCCATGCATGGGCTTGGGACTGCCTGGGTTTCTGCTATCGTGTGACAATGATTCTACCAAGTCAATGCTCCTTCTTCCACAGCACAGCAATGCTGCTGGGGGGCCAATGGCAAATGAACGGGCCACACTTTGGGGACTCTCCTTGGATGTGGAGTTGGCCAATGCCCATCTCATCAGGCACTTGCCTCATTCACGTACATAGGGCTATGTCTGAACACCATGCTAAGGTGCCTGTTCAAATGCCCATGGCCTGTTGCTTCCCTCCAGCCCACCAGCTTCCACCGTGGTGTCCAAAAGGAGAAAACAGAAGCTCTGTGACTAAGAAAGGAAAAGCAAAACAACATCCCACCCCACCTCCTCAACACACACACAGAGACACCTACACATCAAAACCTTAGCCAACACACACAACGGTAATGATGCATGCCTTTATCTGCCTTCACTTTGAACAAGCAAATGAACAAATACAGAACCTGGAGGTGCGTTAGAAGCTGCCTCATCTCTCCATGGCAAGAGCTGAGGCCCAGAACAGGGAGCACCGTGCCACAGTCACAGCAACTCGGTCCAATGGAGGCAGATTCTAGGTTTCTGAATCCTTCCAGAAATCCCAGCCTGGATGCCTGTTCCAGGCAGGGTGTGGGGACCATGAGGTCAAGTGCAGCGTGGCAAGGCCACTGCATGTGCTCAAGAAGGGGGCAGCTGGCTCCTTCCTTCCTCCGGCTCTGCCAAAGCCCCAGGAATCGATTCTACTGGCCAAGCACACGGGGCTTCTTGCTAACTCACAGCAGGTCCCAAAGGTCCCTTCTTCATGAACCCAAGCCCCCTCCACTGGGCCCCCTAAGCATCCTCGAACACGACCATGACACAAATCCACAAACACAGGCACAGGAACGACACAGAGAGCTGACACGGAATGAGCTGCACCGCCCCCACCCCCCAAACCAGGGCCTTGGCACTCCAGCGCTGGGCTCCACCTTTCTGGAAGTTGCTTCTACCCTTGGTGCAGATCCCTAGGCTGTGACTGAGGTGCCACGACGGGCACTGGAGAGCAGCGACTCCTGCTGCAGGTCTCTCCACCTGCTCTCAGCAGCTTCTGCTAATAAGCGTGGAGTTGTGGCATCTCTTTCCTGCAGAAACCCAGGTGGCCCTCAGTGGTTCCAATGTCAAGGGCACAGGAAAGGAAGTCTGAAGAGGTGTCGGGGAGATCTCAGCAGCTAAGTCCAGGGCCAAGGACCTGGCGCCTGGGGTTCCTCATTATTCTCAGGGATGCAGGGGCTGTGGTGCGAGGGCAGGAGCCGAAGCTCCGGACCTGGAGGTGTAAGGTGCTTCAGGATTGGCTGACACAGATCACAGGAAGGCGGCTGGTTCATCTTTGTCATGGCTTTGACATCAGGGGAGATGGGGGTCAGGAGACAGCTGGTGGATGTAGTTGGGAAGCAGTGTCTCTGGGGACAGGAGGAGGTGACCTCATGGTCCCTGCCCATCTGAGTTGGGGGTGTGATCCTGGGGACAGGGGAAGTCTCCCTGCACACATCTCCCCTCCTGGCTCCTCTCTGTCCCAGTTGCAGCCACACCACAGGCCCTCAGCTTGTCTTGGATCAAAGCACCAGGACCTTCCACCTGCCCCTGCCCGCTCAACCCCACTCCATCCCTGCCAACTCCAGTCTCCGACAGAGACGAGCTCGGAGCTGTCCTCCCACCCCAGCGTCCAAGACTTGGGCTCCTGGACACCAAGAAGTTGGGTGAGCACCAGGGAGCCTCGGACAGCACAGCAGGACGCTCTGGGCACCCAGCAAAGTGGGGCACCCCAGGGAGAAGGGCCCAACAGGTAGGGTCAGACAGAGAAGTGGATGTTGGGGCCGGCACCATCCTGCCTCCCAAAGCAAGGTTTCTTCAGCCTCAGCTCACAAGGCCTTGTACTTGCATCTGCAGGTCAAGGCCATCCCTGAGGCTGGAGTGGGATGGGCACCTTTCCAAATTTCAAGGGATACTATTTACATGTCCGGGTCATGACCCAGGGGACGTGGTAGGTGGGGCTAATACCAAATTGGGAGGGCCAGCTTCAGTCTGTGCCCCACCTCCTTCTCCCTGCCTTGGGTGGTGGTGGTGTGGGGGAATGTGGACCCAGCTTCCAGCCCAGGACCTGCCCAAAAGGAGAGGAAAGAGGCGCGAACATGCGTGGGCCCCACTTGCCCACAGCCCCAGCCTGTGTGTGAAGAGGAGGCAGGGAGGGTGGCTCAGGTGGCCAGGTTGTCAGCTGGGAGGCTGGACATGCGAAGCTGGGAGCTGCTCTTGCTGAGGATGGAGAGCTGGGTGCCCCCGTTCATGCCACTGCTGGCCAAGGATGGGTGCCGGTGCTTAAAGTCCACAGTGAAGTAGCGGTTCACCTTCCAGCTCCGCCACTTCCGCTTGATCTCCGCTTGCACCTGCAGGGAGCAACTCAGGCAGTCCCTTCCTGGGGAACACCTCGTCCAGCTCCCAGGTCCAGCCCTGGCTTGCACCCTCCCTGAGCTGGCGCTCACCAGCACCCTTCCCACTGCCCAGCTGCAGCCTGCAGCACTCAAGAACCATAACAGAGGGATATTTCTGGGCAGACCAGAACAGCCTCGGTCCCCTGTGTGATCAGGGATCTCTGGCCTCTGAGGGACATTCCATCCAGCGCCACCATGGGGCAGCTGGTCAGGGCAAAGTTGCCCACTTGTGACAAGGCTGTGTCACATTCCTTGCTGATGTGGACAGGGGAGGACCCAGAGCTTTCTACACCCCCAGGGTCCAGCCCATTCCCCAAGACAACTACAATGACAGCACCTTTGGTTAACAGCTAAGTAGCGCAAGCTTCACTCAGGTGATGGCCACACACTGAGGACTATTGACCAGTCTGCTGGGCTCAGCAAGGTGAGCAAGGGGATTACAAGCCAGTGCATTAGCCACCCAAGTGGACGCAGGATCCACACTGGTCTGTTCCAGTGCCACCTGCTACTTCCTCTGAGGTGCCTGACAAGCTACAAGCTCCCTCCTCCTGCCTCTCTCAGCCAACACCTGCAGGGCCCTTGCTGCCTCATCAGATCCTTCAGTAGGCTATCTTGGTGAACACTGAGCTGAACCTCTCAGGTGCACAAAAATGGGGGGCAGGGGGCGAGAGGAGCCTGCTTAGGTCACAGTTTCACAGTAATGATGCTGTCACTGGTGCACACTCCTTCAAACCCACCTACCCAACCAGCCCTGTGTCCTGCCCCAGCTCCTGGGCCTTGGGTTCTGCTTCAACGCCTCTTGTCCCACGGGCCACAATGAGCAAGGCTGACAGCTCTGGGTTTCATGTCTCTCCCCAGCAAGGGCCCAAGCCTCAGAGCCAGAACACAGGTTTGGGCCCTGGGTGGCCTGCAGGCTGCCCTCCTGTCTCCACCTCCAGTGCTATACCCTTGTCTTACCTCCCCATTCAGGAAACAGTAGAGCACAGCCACCACAAAGCCCTGTGAGAGAGGAAGACAGCCCTAAGCCAGCTGGTCTTGGCGAGGTGCCTCCTGCAGGGGTTGGCCATGGAAACAGGAAGCAGACTAGCATCATGACTTGCAGGATGGGCAGGGGGCACCTATCCTGGATTGTGGGGGTCAGACAGGACATGCATTCCTGCGGCCAGGGGGCTGAGTCCTATCCATGGCCAGAACTCCTGGCTTTGGCTTTCACATTCAAAAGTCTTTCCCCTTCCCAAAGACCAGTTTCTCCCACTTTCTACCATAAGCACTCCCTGGGTGCCTCCAGAATGTTCTTTGGGTGTTCTGCTCAAACTTCCAGTTCCTGGGGGCAGGACCCCTCCAGGATAAGACAGATTAGTGTGATGCCTGCCTTCCTGGAGCCAGTGGGGCACCCATCTGTTCACACCCCCTGATTTGCTCTCTCAGACGCAGCCCCCTCCACCCATTCCTTTTTCTCTCCTCTCCACTCCAGCCACTTCTGTAAACTCTTGCTTGTGCACTGTGCAGCCCACACAGCTCTCTATACTATGAACTCTGCACTGGGATTCCCAATGAGATAAGACAGAGCTGCAGCCCTCCTGGAGAGCACAGTCGAGCAGACACATGGGACTGTCCAGGCCATCTCACCCCATGCCCCAGGTGACGGTGAAGGACACAGGGCTGCTATCACATCACACAGCGGGGAGAGGGGTGTGCCGGGGGGAGGGGGCTGACTCCAGAGTCCAGATGCAGTGACAACCAGATATTGATTAGGGCATCTTGCTACAGGGCAACACTTCTGTACCAGTGCCCCTTTTACAGAAGGAAATACTGAGGCTCAGAATCAGAGCAGGGCCCTAGTTCCCCATGAGTTCTGCCCTCCTTACCTGAAAGGAGCCCAGGCCCAGTTCAAACACGAGTCTCTCCCTCTTGCTGACATTCTCTGGTGAGAAGGCAAACACCGTGTAATGGATCCCAAACAGCGGTATAAGCAGCAGCGTGGACCGGGCCAGCCGCCTGCCAAGAGAAAGGAAAAGCTCTGCTCCAGGGGCTGCTGGGGCTGGACACCAGGGCCCAAACCTCATTGTCCTCTGGAACTGGGGCCCCTGTCACAGACACCCCATGCATACCCTCTTCAGGCAAGGGGCCCAGCAGAGACAGTGGCCAGGAAGACCCTGGGAGTATGGTTGGTTGGGGTGGGGGGGCATCCCCAGCCTGCAGGGTACCCAGTGCTTATCCTGCAGAACCACTCGCTTGAGCGCCCATACAATTTGCAGGAATCCCTGTGTGGTGTGCAAAACCTGGTAGGAGGTGAAATCAGGGCCATGAATGGGGTGGGAGATGCAGACAACGTCCTGTTCTGGAAACAGCCTCCACGACTTGTCTAAGTCTGGGGGTTGGCTTGGGACACACTGATAGCAAGGAGCAGGGGCAGGCACAGTGAGTACAGCACAAGGTACAGTCCCGAGAGGGAGTAGAAGGACTTACTAAGCATACACAAAACAGACGAAGCTGCTGCCTGGGAAACTGAGTCAAAGATTGGGGGGGAAGGGTGTCTTCTCTAAGGAGGGAGGAGCAAGAAGAAGAGGCTCTACGGGGGACCTCCTCACCTGCCCCAGGCCCCAGAGAGCTTGGGGGTGGGGCTGCTCTACTCCCATGCACAGGGACACAGAAGCCCAAGGTGGAGAACATCAACAGCAGGTGCACCGCGAGTCCTGCCGCAAGGGGAAGGGCTTGTTCCTGGGGCTCTCCCAGAGCGGGACCCCAGCCCACCCCAGCACATTCAAAGGGGACTGAGCTGGTCCCCCAGGAGCACAGCTCTGCCCCTCAGCCATACCCAACCTCGATCCTCTCCGGGGTCAGCCTCACCCACTCCCAGCACAGCCCTGTCCTCGGGGGTGGCCAGCAGGCTTGGGGGCAGCCGTTTGATTTGGAGGCAGTGACACCGCGGGCCCCAGCTTCTCCCTCATCCCAGCCTTCCTGGGACAGAACGGTTCTGCGGGATGTGGGGGTTCCAGATTTCTAAAGAAACAGAACCCACGGTGGTGTGTAAGGGCCTTTGAGAAGGAGAAAGGCAGCAAGGAGAGGAGGGGGAAGAGGAGAGAAGGAGAGCGGCAGGAGGAGGAAGCAGCCCCACCCTCACCCGTGGGTGGAGGCACCCACCTGTTCCCTCCCCAGGGTTCCTGGGCAGAACTGTGCTGACCAGACCCCCAAGACTCCTTGCCTCTGGAGACAGGGGCTCCCTACAGCCCCCTCCTTTCAGTCTCCATCCCCTGTGTCCATCTCCCACTGCGGCTCCCGGAATGCCGTGTGGTCTCTCATTGATCTCCATTATCTTCCGGGGCAAGCACCAGTCTGGCACCAAGCTGACATCTGGAAGGTGCCTGTTCCCTGAAGAAATAAATGGATCTCGCATCCTGAAGACCAAATGCCTCCTGTCTACGGGTGCCCAGGCCTGGCACCCAGCAAGGCATGGGGCACTGGAAGCAGAAGTTGCCCTGGGGTCTCCTTCAGGGGCCTGTCCACAGGGGCACCTTGCAGAGGATGCTTGATTGGAAGAGCTCAGAGAGGGCTGAACAGGCGATTGCTAGGAAGAGGACACTGTCATGTGGACTAGGGGCTCAGAATGGAGCCATGAGGTGTGAACCTTATGCTACAAGGTCATTAACTTGGAGATAGGACCACCAGGGGTCTTGATCTCTGTCACCCATCCTGAGCAGAGGCACCCTTGACAAGGAGAAGCACTTCTGAGTGGCCAGACACTCTCACTTGACTGTGCCCCTCTTTGTGCGACACCCACATTGACGCGAAAGCCCCCATCAGAAACGTCTTGGGGCACGGTGCTTGGGATTGCTTTGGGTTGAAATTGTGGCTCTGCCAATGCCATGACAATGAGGGAAGTCCCTTCTCCCTGTGGCTCACTTTCCTCATCTGTGAAATAGGGCTAATACACAGAAACACCTTACAAGCCGTGTGGGAGGATTCAGCATGTCGACGGCAACCCCACTGTGAGCACTGAGTTGGGCACACGGGCTGGATGAACTTAAGTCTGCAGGTGCCAAAACTGAAGCCCAAAAAAGTGTGCAGCTGCAGAGGCCACATGGAAGCCAGGAGCAGAGGCACCTTGAGCTGTTTCCTTTCGGCACAGGCCAGCCCCTGCCCCTGCCCCACTGTCCCACCCCAGGGATCGGAGAACTCACAAAACACATAGGCGTCAACATGCAGCAGCCGGAAAAACAGAGCCTGGACTGGGAGGCACGGGAGGCCGTCCACTCCCCTCCAGCCTGGCGGGACGCAAGCTCAAGGCAGCAGCCAGGACAGCATGCGTCCCCCACCCCTCCAGGGCGCACGGGCACGCACACTTACAGAGTAATGGTGGACAGTTCTGACATCTTGCAAGGGTGCTGCTCAGCCCGCTGTGGCTTGCAGTAACATTTCTGCACGCAGCTGCTGGGTGTGACAAGATTAGCACTTCGGTCAGCCGGGGGGGTATCGAGGTACGGCTCAGAGCAGCACAGTTCCCAGGGGAAGGGGGAGCGGCCGAAGGAACAAAGGTGTGGAGGAGGAGAAGGAGGAAGCCAAGTGCCAAGGCTGGGTCAGCTCTGGACAGAGAAGTGCATGCCCATGCGTTGTACACTTGTGTGTGCAGGGGTGAGGAGGCACACATTGTGGACAGTGGGAGGTGGGTGGGCAGGTGGGCGAGCTGAGCCCAAGGAGCCCAACACGACTTTGTCGGAGGGAACTCAGTGAGACAGGCAGTCAGATGCTCACGCCGGGGATCTCACTCACTGCCTAGCGTAACCAGACTAAACCTGGAGTCAGCCAGTGTGGCCTTGACCATCAAGATCAACCTGCATGTCCACAGGTCTTCTTCACTCTCCTTTGGCCCATGCTTTCCTGGCGTTGAGCCCAGAAGCTTCAATGTTAGTGCCTACAGGAGGGTGGGATTGGGGCGGGGGACAGAGACAAGCAGGCTTGGATGGGTCACAACATAGTCCACATGTGACCGCTGCCATTCTACTCATACACGGATGTGTGTGTTAAAATTCATTAAAGTTGACCACCTAAAATTCCTCTTCTCAGCCAGCCCAACCACCTGGTAGGGCATCTGCTGGTGAACATATTGGGCAGCACAGCCTGGGGCACTGAAGTTCAACTGGGCAGACTAGCCCGGGCTCCATGATCGAAGTTCAAGGGGCAGGGACTGAAGGCCAATGGCTCCAGCAATGAGATTCCCTAAGGCTCTGTGCCTAGGCTGCAAGCCAGCTCTGTAGTCTATCTACCAAGCAAGGGCACAGCCTCTGTGCATGCTCTCCTCTGCCACGGGGCTCACAAGCTGCATTTCAACCTCCTGGAAGCCCTGGTGGTCTGGCTGCACTTGAATCAGCACAAGCCCCGGGCACACCATGTCCTTCCCTAACAGACATGTTGGAGGTGGCTTCCAAGCAATGTCATCTTCTGACTCCTGTACCAGACCCTCTGCAGGCACCCCATGAGTCTGACAACATAGGCAGACAGGTGCAAGCAAAGCTAGGTGTTCTCAAACCTGCCAGGTGCGATCCCAGTTCCCAAAGTGCCTGACCAATGTATTGACGGGGCAGGAGGCAGGAGGCAGGAGGCAGGAATGCATCATGCACTTCAAGGCCAGGGCAACCCTTACCCTCAGGATTGTGACTGCCATTTAAAATATAGTGTCTTTTAATGCCTGTCACGCTGTGTGGTGGGCGTCACAACTATGTTTCCCAGATTAGGAACATCTGTGAATTTCTTACCAGCTGTGTCAGCATCTCCTAAGAGCCCCCAGAATTGCAGCGCCTGAGGACCCCCGCTCCCCAGTCCCTCTGGCTCAGAAGCAGCATTGAAGCAGGTCCCCAGGGAACCCCTCCCTGCAGCCATGGAAGCTGCAGGCACACTGTCAAAGATGTCCCTGTCTCTGAGAAGTGTCCCCAGTGAAAGTCAGGGACCTTGCTCAGACTCACACAGAGGCAGACTCCACAAAATCTTTTTTGAATCAGCAATCACAAGAGCACCATTGGATATCCAAAGAGCTGCCGATCCATTGTCCAGACTTACAACCTACATGAGATGGAGACTGTCTACACTGAGAGCTTGGCTGATCTTCCATATTGGCTTCAGCTGACCACACAAAGGGAAACCTGACACCCTAAAATCCACCCTGCTCTCTCCAGCTTTGGAGATTCTCCTCTGAATCCTTCTTCCTTTAGCACCCAAGATGTCCCTGTCCTATCTGGACTTGAGATGGTGCCCACAGAAACCACCTTTGACAGTGATGCCTTAGCTGGGATAGTGACTCCAATGGAGAGGGTAGGGAAGGCAGACCAGAGAGCAGCAAATGTCTCCAGCGGGACAGGGATAGAGGAAAAAGGGAAGGCACTCCCATCTCCGCACCTTCAAGCAGGTGATGCAGATGGATGGGCTGAAAATAAACAGAACAAGGCAGTGGCAGAAAAACCAGAGGCGGTGGGTGCCCTGAGAAGGAGAGACATGTGCAAATTCCTAAAAGCCAGGACAATTGCACCTACAAGGAGAGACCAGCCAGACTTGCTGAGGACAATGAGGCTGAGCTAGTTCCATGGGGGTGGGAGACACCTAGCCCAGGGCGGAGGCTGCACAGCCCACACGAACCAGCAGGAGACCCCGTGCCAGGTGCAGGGACCCTGCTCATATCTACAAGCCAGGGAGCTGTGGCTTCCGGGCTCAGCTCTGTCCTGGCTTGGCTGAACAAGCCCTGGGAAGGCTGGGCCGTTTCTAGATCTCAGCATCACATCCATCACCCACGGTTTCTGTCAGGGGCAACCTCTCTGGCTGCTCCGGGCAGTCTGCCAAAGACCCAGCAGGACACAGGCTAGAGGCACCTGCAGGGAGCTCCTTGCAGGCCGCACCCCTGTTCTCTTCACCCTTTTACCCCTGTGGTCATGGAGCACAGTGTGGGCCTGTGGTGGCCAACAGAGCCTGGCTTGATCACCCTCCACAAGGTCCCTCCTAAGACTAATGAGCAGTGCACCCCCAGGACCTGCCCAGGCCCCAGGAAGCACATGCCAGCAGGTGACCCCTGCCTGCAGCACAGCTGAGTGGATTTCAGCAGCTCCCATGACTACATTGTCTCCTCTCCCTGCCTGAGAACAAGCCAGAGCCTCTGCTCCCTGCCAGCCTGTGCACCTGAGCGTAGGGTTTCTTTTGGCCACTGACGTGTTGGTTGATCTTCTGCAGGACCACTTTCCTTCTCTGGGTCTCAGTTTTCCCACCTGATAGATCCTTTGTGTAAGGATGAGGTACCCCTGCCTCTCACGATGGGGGCAGGTTTCCTGCAAGTGGAAGATGAGCCAAGAGAGCCTTGGAAGAACCATGTTGGGGCCAAGAAGGTAGAGAGGTGAAATTGTGCAGAGCCAACAGATTTCCCACCCACACCCCAGACCAGGATGCACTAGCTTTAAACGCCTACCTTGTGGGCACAGACCTCCAGAATGCTGCCAGGACCCTGAGGCGTGTCTGATCCTCTCCCTGCATCATGCACATGCCCTGGAAGTCCCTCCCTTACCCCAGACCCTGATCCCCTAGGGAACTGAGATGTAGTCCACCACCCCAGAACAAGCCTCAGCCTCACTCCTAAACTCCTAAACTCACTCTGACCAAATCAGCTCTGAGTCCATGCAGCCCTGAGCCAGCCCAGGGATCTACCTCTGGCTACTGACCCAGTCCCGATCCCTGCCATGGCATGCCAAGGGGGAGTGTAGAGGGAGGCAGGGCTCAGTGCCTCATCCCATGCAGAGTGCTGAAACCTCCATGAGACCTCCTGAGGCAGGATCAGGAGCTATGAAGGACAAACCGTTAGCATCTGAGTGGATAGAACCAACCTAGAGGGCAGGGTATGAATGTTGGTCTGAGGGCACAGGCACAGGTCCACTCAGGCTTTCCTGGGGACTCCCTCTGCCACCCAACTCTGCCTTCTACCTTCCCCTCTTCCCAGCAGCATCACCGCCTGCTCCCAGACACCATCCAGCTCACAGCCACACCCCCTCCATGCCCTGCAGAACCCAGCAGGAAGCACTCCTCCCAGGAACCCTGTTATGTGTGTCTAGTCAGCTGGGAAGGGCCCACCTGCTTCACGCCTCCCTGATAGCTGGTCTCTTGCTGGCTTACCTAACCCTGGCCCTCCTGGCATTCCTCCTCGCTGGGTGTGTGTGAGCCGTGAGCTTGTACAGACTGTGGGGCTGAAGATTACCAGAAACCTGGCTTTTTCTCTTAATTTTTTTAAAGCACCTGCTGAAAATTGCAAGAGGAATTTTAACAGGTATGGGCAAAGACCTGGCCTGACTCTCAAATGGCTAGTCCATATGCTAATGACATATAGTTCTGATCTATGTATCAGGGACCAGGAGTTCACAGCGCCCAGCCTCCGGACATCCTGCAATCCCACTCACCTTGCCTGCCAAACCCTGGGTTCCTTGCTTCCAGGGCAGGACATGTGAGCATCCATACTTAGGCTGAAAATGAGCCTGCTCTACACAGGCAGAGTGAAGGGAAGCCAGGAAGGTCCCCCAAAGGAGAGGATGCTCGGGAGAAGAAATGGTAGACCAGATGCAGGCTTCAGGGGGCCAGTCTACTATCTGTCAAATTCCTGGAGTGGGGCATGCTGCAAGTGAGCAAGAAATCCACCTGCAAGCAGGTATCACTGCAGTCCCACACAAGGCCATCATTCCCAACAGTGACAGGTAGGTGGGGAAGAGCAGGACCCTGATTTCTAACTCCTATGAAGGCAGCAAGGGGCTCTCGCTGCTAGGAGTAGACCAGGGAGCCTTATGACTTGCATTGCTGAACAAATGTCCACTCTACACCAGGCCTGTGTCAGCAGGGGTTGACAAAAACGTGCAAAAATATGAAAACAATAAGAGAGCCTAAATGGAGAGCCAACAAAAGATCTTTTCCAATGTCAAGCAACCACCGCGCAGGAAGACAAAAGCAGGCTGAGCAAGCTCCAGGCCCTGTTCCTCAGGGAGGATCCCTGGCTGGCCAGCAGACAAACTGGGAGCAAGCCCCCAGAGGCCCCGAAAGGCGCTGGCATTTGGTCTCAGGGCAGCTCCCACCTCTTCCTGCTCTGGGTCTGGAACAAGCCCTCCAGCAGCTCTCTGCTGTCCCCCCTGTTCCCTTGGCAGCCATCAAGATTTTGAGTCCCCTGTTGAAGTCTTCAGTAAAGGCAGAAACAATGCCATGAAACAGCCTATCAGCTTCTCACCTGCTCTCTTCAAAAGAACCAAGAAAGTAATAGCAGTAGCTTGTACTTCAGTGGCAGATGCACTCCAAGCACAGGTGCCCATCTAGCCTTTCCAGCACACTCCAGGGACAGGTGTCCATCTCGCTCCTCCCACCGACCACAAGGTTCCCCTGACTCTCCTGCCTAGCATCAGATGTGTCCCCCAACCACCACCCCATGCTCCTAGTTGTCCGTGCTCCTGTCTGTGAGGTCAGAAAGGTGAGGTTCAAGGAGCTTTTTTGATTTCCTAACTGGATAAGGGTTGGGAAAGCCATGTGCCAGGGCCCATGTGATAAGCCTTCAGAGATGTAGCTACAAAAAAAAAAAAAAATACTCCTGGGAAATTAGCCATAAAGTGGGAAAGCCCTGCACTCCAAGCAAAAACCCAGTAAGTTCCCCAAAAATAACATGCACCTCTGCTCACAAGGGATGAAGTGGAGAAGTTAGACCAGACAGAGAGAGTGTGAGCTGCTCCAGAGACAGGCAGAGGAGAGAAGGGATCCCCCTTGGAATGATCTGCCGAGGGAGACTCTCTCCACCTAACCTTGCAGATGGAGTTGAGCAACTTCTATACCCAGTGCTGCAAGGTGGGAGATAGGAGGCTCAGACATCAACGCACTCAGTGATCTTCACAATCTTGCCTCACATTCCCAAAGGAAACCCAACCAGTAACAGGCCCAAACTCAACCCACTCTGGGGCATCTCTGTGTCCCAGCATCACACACAGTGTCTGCCTACCTCTCCCATCTTCCTTTTCCCTTCCATGCAATGTCCATGCAGATCAGAAGCTCCCAGGCCAGTGGAAGTCTAGGAGGGCAGCTGGGTTTGCAAGATGCCTTAGTCAGGAATATGTCTTATAAAGCCTATGTTAGGTGGTACTGGCAGCCAAGCCTAGGCTACCTCCCATACTTGCCAACTGACTGCAGGGTCCTCAGTTGGTTCTCAGAGCTACTTAGAGGCAATATCTACACAATGATACTTACAAGTAGATGCTGGATTCGTTCCCGCCCATGTCTGGAGACTGAAGTTTCTGCACCAGGATGATGATGATACCAATAAAAAGCACAAAGTTCACCTAAGGAAGCAAAGAAAAGAGTATGGAATCTGTTCTAGGCGGCAACTTTCCACACCCTTACTACAACCCCCAACAGGCTTCTCTCCCCATCTAGCACGATCCCACCCAGACTTCTAAACCAAGGCAGTGACACGAGCTTCCAATAGTGTGTTGAAGAGAGGGCAGGAAGGACAAGAATCCTGTAAGAACTGTGGGGAAGCAAGAAAGGGTACCGTGCATGAGCAGAACACTGAGCAACTTCTTGCAGAGAAGTGGGAAATCGGATCAAGTGGGGGAAAAACAACAATGAGAGTTGAGGGGGAGAGAGAAGGAGGAGGAGGAGGGAAGGAGAAAAAGAAGCAAGGGAAGGGAAGGGAGAAGGGAAAGGAAAAGGAGAGGGGAGGGGAGGGGAGGAGAGGAGAGAAGAAGGGAAGAGAGGAGAGGAGAGGAGAAGAAAGGAGAGGAGAGGAGAGGAGAAGAAAGGAGAAGAGAGGAGAGGAGAGGAGAGGAGAGGAGAGGAGAAGAAAGGAGAGGAGAGGAGAGGAGAGGAGAGGAGAGGAGAGGAGAGGAGAGGAGAGGAGAGGAGAGGAGAGGAGAGGCTGCCACAGAGGTGAGAGCTATTACCCTCCTGGGGGGGGACCCCAAGTTCAAGGTCACCCAATGCAGGGAACCAGCATAGACAGCTGTAAGCATGGATGACAGGATTTTTGGGAACAGTAATCTCAGCCTGTACCTTCAGAAAGGGATCAGAGACAAAGGCTTTCTACACCAAGTGGGAAGCTGAGAGACTAGTAAGGAAGGAGGAGGGAGGGAAGCAAAGCAATAGGAATGAGGCACAACAAGGGGGTGACATGGGAGCAACTTTGGGGCCTGGCCAGAGTAGCCCTTGGAGAAAATGGAGAGCCTAAGGTGCATTAAGACATGGTAAACACTGAGGTGGGCATTGTAGCACTGCAGGTTAAGCCACTATTTGCAATGACTACATGTTGTGTTGCTTTGATTCTCAGCTGCTCTGCTTCCAATCCAGCTTCCTGGTAATGCACCTGGGAAGACAATAGAAGATGACCCAAGTGCCAGAGCAGAGCCCTGCTGCCCACATGAGAGATCAAGGTGGAGTTTGGCCTGGATTGGCCCAGGCTATTGCAACCATTTGGAGAGTGAACCAGGGAATGTAAGATCAATTAAAGAAAGAAGAACATCATGACCATTCAATTTTCATCCTAGGAATGCAAAACATAATTCTAACGTATGATATAACAGTAGATTAAAACAAGTTCCCATTACCCCCTCATAAGACTGACAAGTAGTTCAGTAAAACAGATATCAACTAAGACATGGGAAAAATTAAAACAATGAGCACTCCCTGTACCTTGCTTGCAGAGTAACTTAATATCCATGAAAATACTAAGTGTACAAACCCTCTGTTCCAGAAATTCTACCCCTAGAGATTGATGCTAAAGAGACTGCTGTAGTGTAATGGGCCTTGCTCCCCAACTCACTCAGAACCTCAAGTCCTCCCAACAGAAATTGACAGTGTGTGTAGAGTGCAGGCTTATTCAGTTGCAGTGTCTGAAGACAGGGACTTCTGGAAGTGAGCAGGTGGGATTGTGAACTCAGCCTTTGGCTTGGATCACACTGGCTTCCTCATCACAGATGTGTGGACATGGAGGAGGAGCCAGTCCTGGGCCTCCGCTCCCAGGCTCACCATAGAATCCACCCTCTGCATATACCCTAGTACCACCAGCCTCCAGCCAGATCAGATGCCAGACTAATGTGGCTGTCAATCTCCAAAACCATGAGCTGAAATAAACCCCCTTCCTCCATAAGAAATTTCTCTCTGGTATTTAATACAGTAACCCAAAGCTGACCCGTGCAGATATTGGCTCATGCCCAAAGATACGTACTAATATATTTCTTACAGCATGATTCATAATGAAGAAACATTACTACAAAAGCTCATCACCAAGAGAATGAATACATTTGATAAAAATCAGCACCCATCCCTGACATATAAAATACATATGTCATAACATGTCAGAAAGAGAATCATTCCTAAGTCAGGGAAGGACAGCATTATTTCTATGAAAACAAGAAATAACTAGTATATAAACTGGAAGGAAAGGCACAAACTAATTTAATTTGTTGATTATGTAATTTTATTCCTAGGAAGTCCACAAAGACAGCTGGAAAAGGCTGAATAATCGACAAGAGAATTGGGAAACATATTTATGAAAAGTAAAAAGTACTCCAAACTCAACAGCTCCCATATACAACAGCAGTAATCCACTGGAAAATATAACAAAAGACAAACTCCCAGAACCATTGAAAGACCAAATTTTAAAATACGATAGAAATAAACAGAATAAAAACAAGGAAAGAAACAAAAAACTTTATGGAAATTATCCTACCTAAAAGAAAGATAGAATAAATGGAAACTCATGCCACATCTTTTGAAAAGACTCAACGTTTTTAAGGAAACTACTGCTCTTCCTGGCAGCCCCGCTTCGCATCCAGCTCCCTGCCTGCGGCCTGGAAAAGCAGCTGAAACGGCCCAAAACCTTGGGACCCTGCACCCACATAGGAGATCCAGAAGAGGCTCCGGGCTCCTACTTCAGATCGGTGCAGCTTTGGCCATTGTGGTCACTTGGCAAGGGAATCAACAGACGGAAGATCTTCCTCTCTGTCTCTCCTCCTTTCCGTATATCTGACTTCCCAATAGAAAAAAAGTAGGAACATTTTGAAGAAAACAGAAGAATGAAAGGGAAATTCCTATGCCAGGTTATTCCAGATTCAAAGCATACTACAAGATTAAAGTAACTAGAACAGTATGGCATCTGTTGTGGAAATACACCAAGGTTAATAATAACACATGAAGAGTCTGGAACCCAAACCAAAGATATCATATACTTATGATATGGCAACATCCTAGTATAGTGGAAAAGTACTCAATAAAAAGGATTGGAGAATGAAATATCTATTCATTCAAAGCAATAATATTAGATAAAATTAAGTTTCAGTCCATACAAGGCAAAAAAAAAAAAATAAGCTTCACCTGGATTAGAGATACAGTAGGCTAATCCACAAAAATGTTATTTGAATGTAAAATTATTTTTGTACTTTGGGAAATGCCTTCATAAACAAGAAATAAGGCTCGGAATTCAAGCAAAGAAAACATAGCTAGTTGGCTGTTCAAATATTTTTCTGTCTTGGAAATTCACTTAATAACACATAGAGCAAATGAGATGGCCCTACACTTCAGTATAAAAGACAACCGACTAGAAAAATGAGCAAAGGAAATAAACAGGAAGATCCAGAATACAAAGGTCGTATCAATGAATACTTGAAAAAGGGCTCAATCACTTAGCAATCCAGAGAAATGTGCAAGACAGCAATCAGCTGCTGTGATCCTAGTGGCCCAAGCTGAACAGGTGGCTGATGTGCAAAGCGCAGAAGGCGAGAGTGCAAGTGCTGTGTCCTCCCAGAGTCCAAGCGTGGGGAGCCAGGTTCCCAGGGTGGTGGGACCTTAGTGGGTGGGGCCTACTGGGAGGTTATTAGGCCACTAGGAACACAGTCTGGGAAAGGATTAAGGGAGTTCTCCGACGACCCTGGTAAGTTCTTGCACCAGGATTATTATACAAGAACAAGCCGGGTCTTTCCCACCACCCTCCTCCCTGGCGACCCCTCCCTCTCCCTGCTCTCTCACACCACCAGCAAACCCTTGCACAAATCCCAAGCTCAACAGATCTCTTTTCTTTACAAATTATCCAGCCTCAGGATATTTTGGTGCAGCCACAGAAAACAATGAGTCACCTTCCCCAGCAAAAAGGGTTTGTGTGAAACAACTTGGGATCTCAGATTTTAAAGGTACAGCCTTTCTTGGCTTAGCAATTTCACTTCTAAGGATCTGCTAAAGAAACATTCTCTCGAGCTCAAAATTATGCACAGAGCTATCCTCGGGTGAATCTTTCATAATGGAAAAAAAAAAAAGGGAATACCACAAAAGACTAACTATCAGAGTGTCTCTGTTGCAGGATACAGTGTGGCCACAACAAAGATGGGGGTTAGGCTGCCTAGAGACCCTTTCATTCCTGTCCAGACTCCCAGTTCTTCCTCCCTAACACTCCCTGTCCCCTCACTCCATCCCAAAGACACTCACCATTATGGAACCAACCACAGGGCCTTTGATCACCCACCAGAGGGCCGTGCTGTCATTCATATCCCAGCAACTGAAAGTACACAAGCGGATACAAGGGGCCAGGTTGAGGCTCGACCTAGACACCTGCTGAGGAGGACCCAGCTAGAAGGACAGCTCTCAGGGGGATTGCAAAAACAAACTTCCCTTCTCCCAACCCACCCAAGGACATGTAACAGTGTAAGTGGATATTTGCAAGACATCTGGGCTCTGGCACAAACACCTTTCCTGGTCCAGCAATTTCACATTTGGGGATGCATTCAAAGAAATATTGGTACCTGTTCAAAATGGCACTAGCAATTCCTTGAAGCATTGCAAGGATCTCAAGACATCCTTCATCCAAGCCTTGATCCTGCCAGGTGAGCCACTGTTGGGCACGTGTAAAACGCCTGGAAGGAACCCTGTCTCTCCTTCTTACCTTGGCTTCTTACACCCCACCCTCAACATTGCTCTCACAAAGGGAAGCCAGCTCTCAGAAGAGCTGGGCTCTGAAACTTTTTACATTTTCCTTGCTGGGCTGCCAACTGAGCCATGGGGAAGCAGTGTCTGGTGTTGGAAGGTTTTTGTAGGGGGCAGCTCACAGGCGGTCAGGAGAGGCCTGGCTTTTAGGGGTGCACTCACCCTGTGTCATCCAGGTAGAGCCTCAGGGTAGCCCACACCGTCACACATACAGTTGGGGTTCCTGGGAGGGTAAGTAGTGGAGGCCATGACAACAAGAAAACCCATGAGCACTATGTCCCCTCCTCAGACCTGGGACCCCCACAGACCTCTGCTACCCCAACATGGGTGACCTAACTATCCCTTCCATCCAGACCTTCTGGCATCTGTGTTTCCCCAGCTGGTGGCTTCCCACACTGAGGAAGTGCAAGGATCCATGGGTTGCCATCCACACTGGCTAGGGATCTGCCAGCAAACCCAGCTACCTCACTCACAGATAAGGACTGTCAGGACTGCAGCCAGTGACCTACCCCAGCCGATGATGATGTACCAGTAGAAGTATCTCCTCTCGGGGAAAAAGGTCTCCACCAGCAGGGTGAAGAGGTACAGGCCCTCGATGAACAGCCAGAAGTAGTTGGACACAACGCAGTAGTGGAAGAAAACCATGACGGCCTTGCATTCTACCTACAGGGACAGCCACCGGGGCCAGAACGGTGGTGAGCTCCCCTCTCCCTACACCCAGCGAACCCCAAAACCCCCAGAATCAGCAGCAGCAGGGGTTTGGGGAGTCCCAAGGGCTCTGCACTGCAGAGCTCTGAAGGAGTTGGCATGCCTAGATGGAGTTGCTGACAACTGCAGCATCCTATCCCCAGGGAGGGGCCGCTGCCCGGGAGGCAGGACAAGAATGGGTGGGCAACCACAGAGCCTTCTCACCTGCCCACCCCTCTCCCACCACCATCTTATCAACATTCAGAGCCCAGATGGGCAGGGACAGCAGCCTGGTAAGATGAGCATTTGAACACGTCCCAGGCGGGGGGGGGGGGGTACACAGCCAGGGCCCACAGGTCTCTTCTCTCACTCTAACCCAACCCTGGCACATCCTGATGTCATGCCCAGCAAGCCCTTCCTTGAGCCTCAACTTTTTCCTCAGCTACATAGCACACATTACTCCCATCGGATACCCTTCAACTCCTCTGCCAAGTACAACGCCTCAGCCAGGAAACAGGACACATCCTGGCTAGAAGGGATGCTGGACATCGGTCCCCAGGAACTTCAGAGTGACACCTGGATTCCCTCAGGGACAGGGGACAGCACTTTCTCCTGGCATGGTGGGGGAGGGGGTACACAGAACCTCGCCAGCAGGTGACCCTGGGCCTTGGTTTACTCACAGTGGAGATGAAGCAATGGTTGCTGTCTTGTTCGGCATAGAGAATCCAGTCTTTGATGAAAACAGAGATGGCCCTCAGCATGAAGGACACGAACAGATTCATGTGGATGAAATTCCGGGTGCAGTGCAGTTTCCTGTGGGCGCGCACCAGTGCAGGAGGAGACCTTAAGCCCCACACTGGGGAGCATTCAGCCAGCCACAACACACCCTCCTCCTCTGGCTGAACAAAGGTCATCCCCCGCTACCCCTTTGTTATCCCCCGTGGTGGTGAAAAAAATGTCTGAAAGGAACCTTCCAAGGCTGACATGCTAGGGGGCTCAGGCCTGCTGGCTCCAGGGCTGCTGGGGGATCTCACCGGAAGCGACACAGGATGACCATGGCAGTGGTTAGGGTGACAAGGGAAGTGCTGTAGCCAACCGTGTAGAGGGCCTTCACCGACAAGTAGTAGTAATCCTGCAGCAGGGCATAGAGGGAGCAGGGCTCAGCCGTTCTCACCCCTGCCCCCGCTGACTTCATCCCCATCTCTTCTGCAGTTGCCCCTTCACTCAACTGCATTCTGCAGCCACTCAACATCAGCTGGGCTTGTCAAGGCAGGAGCCTGGCCAGTCGAAAGTCAGCTCCCTGTCCCCTGCCCCCTGCCCCCTCCAAGACCCTTGGCTCTAACTTTTCAGTTGCTGGGTCTTGGCAAAGCCAGCATTCTGGCAGATACATGGGGAGTTTGGGCAGCAGCCCATCAGCTGTTTCTCAGCCCCAGCAGGGGTGGGAGGTGGGGTATTGGATGAAGGCCTCGCCCCACTTAACACACCTGCCTCGGTGCACTTGTGAATGCAGCCCAGGGACTCAAGCGTCCTCAGCCCCTCCCCTGCCAGCTGTGGGCACAGGATGCAGGCACACTCACCTGGTCCCCAGGCTCAGATTCGTACTCATCAAACCCACAAGCATCGAAGTAATGAGGGAAGGGCTCAGACCACCCATCCTCTGTGCAGTTCCGGCTCACCACCCCCATGTCTGCAGAGAACAGAAAACTGCATGAGCATGACGGTGATTTGAAAGAGCCCTGGAATCCACAGGCACAAGCGACATCTCACAGAAGAATTCCTGGAAAAAATGCACATCCAGCTGCCCACACCAGCCGACACATAGAGAGTGTGTTTAGTTAGCAAGGGCCTGACCTCTGCTGACCTAGCTGTGCCTCCTAGCATCACCTCTAGGTTAAAAACTAAGGGGGAAGGACAGGCGCTGGGGATTGTTCCCATCACCAATGTTCTTTAACTTTTTTGGATCAAATTCGAACAAATTTGGTAGGATAGCAGGGGGTGATCACCACTGAAGGTACTCTTTGCTGGCTACCAAGGTTCCTGCCCTAATTGAGACTGAGCCTTGAGCAATGGCTCATGTACTTATGTCCCTTCACCCTCTGGTCTGTCAGGGGTGGGATAGGGTAGGCAAACAGCCACCCTTTCCCCCAGGCAGCCCCTTAAGTGTTACCCCAGCAGGACTTTCTGGGGTATTTCTCTGGTGCATTGGGTCTGGCCTTCAGCAGATCCCAAAGCTAGGGGCAGTGTAAGACAAGAGACAGTTGTAGAAAAGGGCTTCGGCACCTGGCCTACCGGGAAGACTCCTCTATTGTGTGGCCAAGGCCATTTCTGGGGGGGGCCACAGAAAGGGGTCAGGTGAGCACTGGGTCATAGCAGACATGTGGCAGGAGGCAGAGACCAAGAGAGGAGGCCCCTCCACTTCTCCAGCCTGCCTGTGTCCTTACTGATTGAGTCGGGAAACCCCAAGGTCCATTCTCTATTAGCCAGGAGTGTCAGAAACGTGCCATGAAAACCTGGGAAAGTGGCCGGAGTGAGGAGGACTCTGTGCTACAAAGAAGAGAGCTCCCCTCCCAAGAGTGGGAAAATGGCATCCATCCCCATCTGCGGTCCCAAGTGCCATGGCACAAGAAGGAGGGAGCTTGGCAGGCCCAGGCAGGGCAAAGGAGCTCGCTTCTGTTCCACGGTTTCATGCCAAATGGTCCCTTCTTTGAGCCAGTCTGTCTCAGGCTGCCACTAGCATTGTTCTTCCCAGTGCCTCCCAAGGTGTCTTGTGAAAACCCTGGCCAAGTCCCTGCTGCCCCCAGCTCAGGCCTCCCTGTCCTCGACTTTGCACACCCCAGGGTGCTGGAAAAGGAGAGGCAGGTTGCTCTGAAAGCCAATTAAAAAAAAATGATCCAGAGGAAAAAGCTATTTCCTTTATTTTTCTTCTTTCTCTCTTTTTGCAATACAGCATAGGCTCAGGAAACGCCTTTTTTGTCCCCAAGCTGTTTTGTGACTATTACTCAGAAAGAGCTCTCCAGCTCACCACAACCCTGTAAGGACTGTGTCCACTTCATAGGACCTTGTTGCTGCAGCAACTTCACAGGAGTCAAGGATTTGGGGGTGATAGTCCCCAAGGTGGTTGTCTGCCCCAGGTCTCCCCACCAACATCACGGGAACACCAAACAGCTATGTTCACCCTCAGGGGTCAGAATGCAGTTTCCAGAGGGTGAGGCCTAGGAATCTGCATCCTGACCATCATCACACAATTACAGCATGTCAAGGTTCAAAACCATGAGGAAGCAGCTAATCCAATTATTTGCAGTGGGGTCCCAAAGGGCTCCCCTGAATTTGCAAAAGAGCATTTCAAAAAGTTCTTGGAAAATGTAATTAAAGGATGTTTATTTTGGGACAAATATTTTTTTTTAGATCCTTGTCTGGGAGAGGTCTTCAAAAAGTTCATGAGAAATGAGTATTAAGAGAAAAAAAAAAGCTATGCACAAATTTCAATTTTCTTGCACCAAAATAAACTTGTAATCCCCAACTTGCCACAACTCTTCTGAGTTAATGTTCAGAAAGTAGGATGTTGTGGATACTGAAGTGTGGCTTTCTGCAGAGACAAGTTGGGAGTTTTAGCAGAGAGGAGAGAGGACCTGCCTAAGAAGACACTATCTCATGGGGACACCCACCTCCGGCCAGCCTGACCCCTTTACCTGCAAGATCCAAGGAGTTACTCTCAGCAAAACCAAGCTCTCCTGTAAAACACAAAGTGGGCATGCCTCAGGAAGGCCGGCCACTGGCCTGCCATTCCTCCAATCCAAGCCAAGGCCAGCCCAGGAGTGCAGCAGCAGCCTGCCGACCAGCGTGCACCATCTGGCACTTGCCCACAGCTCAGCATGCAAAGGGGGACTCTTAGGAGGAAGGAAGATAGGCCCTTTGCAGGAGAAGGGCAACAAACAGCAATGTGGGGCTAAGTCCTGAGGTTTCTTTGATGCCCAGCCCTCAACCAGGCTCCAGACGTGCTGCATCAAGGGCAACTCCAGAATGCCAAAACCTTTGGCCTCGGGAACCTCTCCGATTGCCCTCCAACTTGTTCCCATGGCCTCCTTTTCTTATGCCGAAACCTCTGCTTTTCCAGGAAGCCCCTCCACTTCTCAAAATGCAGTTTCTAAGGCCCAGGTGACATGGCACCTCCTCCAGGAAGCGTCCTCTGACTGCCCGACTAGTCTGCCTGCAAGGGGCAGCATTCTGGCTCTTCAGTCCGCTTGCTTGCTGGACCTTCCAGCTTTTTCAGCCTGCTGGGGACATCACTCTCTGTATGGATTCACACATGAGTTCAGGTCTCTGCAGACACACATGGGTGGCCTGGTTTTCTAAGCCCTGTCTTCCTGAGCAAGCACATGAGGAACCTGAAGTCAAGTCTTCCACTTTCCCAAGCTCCCCACCCCAGTGTCACCAGGTCAGAGAGTGGCAGAGGTAACCCAGCCCCAGTGAGGTCTCATTCCCCCTCCACCAGACCCCAGCAGCCAGAGCCCAGGCGTTCCCGAAGCAGGGCCCCTGTTGCACAGACTGATGGACCCATGGACGGTGGTCTGTCCTCAACATGGTTCTTCTTACCAATGGTTTCTGTCTCCCAGACTGCAAGAGAAAGAAAGAGTAAAGTACAGTGATGAGTAGGCAAGCCAGAGTCAGGGTCTGCTCTGCCTCCTGCCCCCAACATGAGAGAGAGCCTGGCTGGGGGCTGCAAGTTGGAGGCCTCCGTGTCACCTCCATCTCCAGAATGCACAGAGGCTCCCGAGAGGAGAAGGGAAGGACCAGAGCAGCTGCACTCCCGGCACCCCCCACCTCCCGCCCATCCACAGCTACCCTAGGAACTCCCGGCTCTGCCTTCTCACTGTGGAAGTCTCACCCTACAAGCCTGAGAGTGGAGGTGCCAACAGGCCCTGCTATAATGAGCCATTAAGAAGCAGGTGCAACAACAGGTTTCTGGTGCCAGCGCCAGAGGGAGGAGGCAGTGACAAGAACATGAACGTGAATTCATTCTGCTTTGAGGAAGGCAGTGCCTGACAAGCAGCCACAGCCTAAACCTAACTTAACTGCAGGAGATGGATCCACAGTGGAGACTTGATACAAAATGACTATATGAATCCACAAAAGACAGAGGGAGTGGCTTGCACTGGTTAGAATTGGATCTCTAACTGGAATTGGCCCAAGTCACAGCTGCCACCTCTCACATCATGTTCCCGTGCCCACTAGAGACTGTCTGCCCCTGATTCCTCTTTCAGATTCACTCCGGACCAGCCCTGGGTCACACAATCCCTAAGCCCTCTGCGCTGGCAGGTGGGAGGTATGGTGATAGATCTGAGTGAAGGGGGGTATGGCCAATAAACTGTTTTCTCTGGATTTGGGTTAGTGCAGTTGGGCACCACTCACTCCTTCTGCTGCCCATGCAAGCCCCTCCCCACCCCAGGGAAGAAGCAAGGGGGCTGGAGTTCAAGGTTTGAAAGTCAGTTTGCCTCTTGTTTCTTGGGAAGAGCTTGGCACTGCAACAGAACTGGAAGACTCCACCCCTGGAAGATTTTGGGCCTGAACTGCAGGACAGGAGGCGCTGAGGCCAGCCTGTAAAAGGGTCCTGTGCACAGATACACAGCACTTAGCCCATACCACCCTCGAGAGGCCCTGCCTTCCAGCCTCTGCCCCAAGGCCCATCCAGAGACCAGTGGAAGCCAGTGAGCACTTTCCAGGAAACCCCAGCCTAAAGGCAGCTCAGCCCCAGCTCAATGCCCTCAACAAGCTGCTTTGCCTGCCTGGACATCTCCAAGGGCTGAGGAGGAGGACTGAGTGGCCCTATGAGTGACAGGGGTGACAATATCTGTCCACATTCACCTGCAAGGGTGCCAGCTGCTGCAGGAGGCCACTTTAATTCACAGTGCTATCCTTGAGCCTCCCAGAGATTCCCAGAGTGAGCTGAGACCACATCTGGCCCTGCCAGAACAGGTGCCTGGCTCAAGTTCCCAGCCTTGCCTACATTCATGACCATGTGCCAGAACAGGTGTAGCTGGGAGCCATGTAAAGGGAACGCATATGTGTTCACACGTGCCAGCATATGAGCCATGAGCCAGGAGTGTCCACCCAGGAACCAGCCCCAACTGCTGCTCTCTCCTAAGAGGAACTTGGTGCTGAGTTCAGGGAGCAGCTGGGACGGAGGTAGGCACCCAGCTCTGAGCTGAACACACCTTGGTCAGGATTGAAGATGCGGAAGAGCTCAGGGCAGCTGACCAGGACCATCTCACCCACATGCGCGGGCTTCCAACACGTGATGTTGTCCCACATCCCAGGGCAGCCTGTGGGCAGAGAATGACGGTGAGCACACGTACACACCGCACTCACATTCCACGGAAATACACGCCACAATGCACATCACTCATGTTTGCCCATCTGTACACCACATACACATACCCACACAGGGAACACATGTGTGTACACACACATTCACACATCTACTTGCACACACATGTATACCACACACATGCATCACAACACACAAACATACCACACACATATAAACATGGCAATACACAACACACATGTATATACCCATAGGCAATAGATACAGTCCACATAACAAACATATAACACACATCATAGATGCATACCAGCTATATCTCCATCCCACACTTGTGGGTCTCCAGGCAGTCCCTAGGGGCTGAGCCCATGGCTGGCTGCCTGCCAGATACCCCAACCTCCAGGGACTCCTGGGAGTAAGACTCAACTTGCTCTCCACTACTACACCATCTTCCTCCCATGCTCATCAACTTTTCCTGAGACATGATCTTGGCTTCTGAAGATGGAGATGGGTGTGGAGATGGTGTGCCCCTATCCCATATCAGAGCACCTGGGCTGAGTCCCAGCTCCTCTCTGCATTGCAGATAAAGTGCATCTTGGCAGGCAGCAGCTGACAGCAAATATACTCGGTCTTGGTCATCCATATGAGAGACCCAGCATGAGTTTCCAGCTCTTGGCTTCAGCCTGGCCCAGTCCCAGCTCTTTCAAGCATTTAGGGAGTGAACCAGCAAATGGAAAATACTCCTCTCTCTCTCTCTCTCTCTCCCTTTCAAACAAAATGAAAAAAAAAATTAAGTCTTTTAATGAGATTGTCATATGAAGGAATCTCAAAAAGCACATGGAAAATCCCCATCAAGAAAAATCTGTGCAGAGATTTCAAAATGTTTGACTTTAAAATAAGCTTACTTCTTAATTGCTCTTTCTAGAAACTGAAGTACCCTTGTCCACTCCACCAGCAGCAATGAAAGTTACTGGTGCTCTTAACACCCTCCATCTTTGAGCATGGCACCTACAGCCCCTGCTCTCCAGCCTCATGGCCCCTCTGCTCACTTCTCTCCCCAGCACTTGGGTGATGGCTGAGGCCGTCAGGTGAGAGAGCCCACTCAGGGAGAGGACATGAAACAATAAGAACATGGAGGAGGAAGCCCAGCGTGTACAGAGGAAAGACATATAGCGATGCCATCGAGAGACAGGAGAGAATCATAATGAGAAAGTGCATATGTCCGACAGTATGGTAGGATTTCAGCAAAGTGACCCTCCTGGGCTGGTGCGCCCAAGGGGAGGGCTTCTGTTCCGCTAAGGGACAGCAGGTGCCTGAGAGCATCCCACCTCCTAAGCTGTCATGAAGATTTCTGAGTGCACACAAGAGAAGCCCTGCCAACCATGCCAGGCTCACTGATGGCACGCTCACTGTGTTAGCAGTAATTGGATTCTTTCAAACTGGTACCCGCCGAGAATCATTCCCCTGAGAGAAGTCTACCAAGGTGTGGAGACAAAGCGGAGTCCCGCAGGTGCAACCAAAGCCTCTGAAAGCCACCACCGGGTCCCAGAGGTCACCTGGGCAGGTGCTAGGAAGGGGATAGGCCTGGAGTGGACCTGATCAGCTCCTGGTTACACCACTGGGGTCCATGACTCCTCGGTGCAGTTTGGAACAGGAAACAATTGCAGTTCCTGAGTGCGGAAAACCCTGCCTCTCAGAATTTAGCCCTCAGAGTGATGGAGTTCAGCCCTAGTCACATGGGCCTGCAACATCCTGCTTGTGTCAAGCAACCTGACAGCACCACCTGCACCTGGAGCCCCTAGGCTTATTCTCAGGGGCTGGCGTCAGTCCACCATGCCTCTTAACTTTCTGGTAGGGCAAAGCAGAGGGCTCAAATCTGCAGTAGGAATTTCCCTGGGAACTGCTGACACCTTAGGAGACAGCTGGGAGTGACAGGGCCTGCCTTCTTCCTACATCCCTCACCCCACCTTGTTGCTGGGAACTCTCTGGGAACTACCCTCAAGTTGTGCCTTGTCCTGTCCCTACCCTAGACCTCTCCACAGAACTCGTGGCAATGCCAACAGTACCCGGGCAGGTGGTACTGTGTGGAGCCCATAGCTCTCCACCTGTTCCTCTGGCAACATCCCTGGAGTCACTGGAGACTCAGCACTGCCGCTGGCCTGAGGCACATTTCTTCTAGGTCACCTCTACTCACCCCTCATCACCAAGGCCCTATGGATGAGCTCTGTTCTGGCCTGGGGGACCTTGGAGTTGAGTCCTCCCAGGGGCCATTCCCCTGCATGTTTAGGATGGTGGCAGCTAAGCTCTGCAGAGAGCTCCGGGACTTCTAATTAAGAACTGAGCAGCAGTTTCCTTCCTCTGGCACAGAATGTGCCCAACTCCTGCAGCCCCACGGGTTCTGCAGCCTGGTCTCAACAAAAGCTTAGTCCCCTCGGGAGCGGAGATGTCAGGACGCTTTTCTCCTCCTCCTCCCCTCCTCCTCTCACCCGTTTGTTCTTCCCACTCTCTCCCTTCCCCTTACTCACTCCTGTATTCAAGAAGCCCTCGATGAGTCAGGCACTGCAGAACGAGACAGGAAGGAGGGAGAGGAACTCACTGGCGGCCTTGCACAGTTCACAGTCTGGGGCCGCATTAGTTAATGATCTTGGGCTTTGTGCTGAAGGCTAAGAGAATGTGCCAGCCACAGAGCCCATTTCCTTTCAAGGCTGCAGGTATATAGCTAACTTGATGCTTCCAATGGTACAATGGTACATTCTGGCAGGTGTGTGTGGGGGGGGCGGGGAAGTGGGGGGTGTCAAAAGCACAAAAAGACTCTCCCTGAGCTACAATGAAGGAGCTGAGAGTCCCACATTCCTTCTGGACAGTCTTAGGGGATCTCATTCCCTTGCCAGTTCCAGAACCCACAGGCTGCTCACCTTCCTCAGCTGTCTTTTCTCTCTTATCCTCCTCCACTCCCTCTCTTCCTCTGACTCTCCCACCTTCTCCCTTCAGGTACCAGACCCCTGCAATCATCCTGGGCCCAGCCAGATAGCCCAGGCTAGTGTTCTCCTCTGCAGAGCCTGACACTAACAGCAGGTGCAAAGCTCCATTTGTTGGGTAAGGGGAGACAGTCACAGGCTTAGCAAGGAGACATCTGGAAGGTAAGGAAGATGCAGGGCTGCTACCCAATAACAGGAAATGGGAGACAAATAGTCCCATGACCTGCTTGGGTAGCTTAAGGACCACTGTGTATAAAGCAGAGACCTGCACAGCAGTTAAGATGTCACTGGGGTTACCCACTTCCCATATCCTCAGGGCCTGGGTGTTGGCTCTGCTCCAAATGCCAGCTTCCTGCTAATGAGCACCATGGCAGATGGCAAGTCAGGGCACCCATGAAAGAAACCAACAATGAGTTCCCAGCACCTAGCTTTGTCCTACCTCAGCCCCCAGCTATAGAGAGCATTTGGGGGTAAATAAGTAGATGAGAGATTTCTTTTAGGTAAATCAAATAAACACTTTTTAAAAAAAAAAAAAAGTAGAAAAATGGCCCAGCATGATAGCTTAGTGGTTAAAATCTTAGTCTTGCATTCCTGGGATCCCATATAGGTGTCAGTTCATATCCCTGCTGTTCCACTCCCCATACAGCTCCCTGCTTGTGGACTGGGAAAGCAGTGGAGGATGGCCCAGAGCCTTGGGACCCTGTACCCATGTGGGAGACCCAGAAGAAGCTCCGGGATCCTGGGTTTGGATTGGCTCAGCTGCAACTGTTGCAGCCACTTGGGGAGTGAACCAGAAGATAGAAGATTTTTCTCTCTGCCTTTTCAATAAAAGTAAATAAACCCTTTTTTTAAAAAAGCAGGGAAAAAAAGGAAATTGAGTCAGAACAGGGCAGGGAAAAAGTGAAAGCTTGGTTTGGAGCAACAGTGGAGAGGAGGCCTGTGTAGGACAGAGTCTGAAGGCAGGACCAACAGGACTAGGGTGACAACCAGCCGGATGTAGTCAATGAGTTGGTAGTGCTCATCCATCAAGTGACTGAGTGCTTATTCACCAAGTACTGACCTGATCATCACACATGCCTCCCAGGCATGCCTTGCTCTCCCTCTGCAGCACCCTTGGGGACCACATGCCAAGGGTGGCAGTGTCCCAAGGTGAAGGGAACCTGCTGCCTGAATGGCTGTGTGAGGTCCAGCTCCCCTCACATCCCCACTCACTGCACTAGCCTTGACATGTGCACTCTGACTCCTGAGGTTTTAAGGTTGACTGGTTCCTGAAGCAGAGTCTAGACTATCCTGACTAGAGAGAGATCCAGAAGGTGTCATTCAAGTTCCTGGCTTGATTGTCAGATGGACGGATGAATGAGTGGATGCACATGTAGATGAGTGGATGGGTGGATGGATGGATGGATGATAGATGAATAGATGGACAATAGGTGCTTTGTGGATGACAGTTGGATGGGCAGGTGGCTGGATCAGTGGGTAGATAATTGGACAAGTGGATGAGTGGATGAATGGGTTGATGGATGGACAATAGATGCTTTATGGAAGATGGATGAATAATGGATGTATAGATGAGTAGATGGGTGGATGGATGATGGATGGTAGATAATAAATGGGTTATGCATGATGATGGATATACAGATGGACAGAGAGCTGCTAGCTGACTGGATGGACAGTGGGGATGGCTGGATGAGAAGTAAATCATCAGGGCACTAGGCAGATTAGACATGAAGAGCTCAGTCTGAGATTAGGCAATGCTAACTGCATCCATGTGGAGACAGCTGTTTGCTAAAAGTCTGCAGTGGAGTCAGTACTGGCGGGAGATGAAGGGTGGAGATGGTCAATCCATGCTGCTCTTTAGGCCATGGGTCTGGCCAGGATGTTTGATGAAAGAATGCACATCAAAGGAAAGAGGCAAGCAAGGCCTGGCCCCAACAAAAGCAGGAATGCCTCTATTTCCAGAAGGAGCTGGCAGAGATGACGAGAAGGGAAACCAGGACAGGCTGGGGGCCCAACAGCCGGGAAAGCATGTTCCAGGAAGGAGCCTGTCAAATCAGCCAAAGCTCAGTTCCTCTCCTTCTCTTCCTCCTCCAGAAGTGGTAGGGAATCAGAGCAGAGTAGGTCCCATTCTCAGGGAGACCTCCGAACTTTGTCAGCCCCCCAAAGCCTCTCCCTTCACCCGGACACCCTCCCAGTTCAATCTGCCCAGCTCGCCATGTTAGCATTCCAGTGGCAGAATTCAGTGCTGTTGGCAGACCAAGTGTAGGCAGACATGCCATGCAGGCTCTCTGAGCAACGCCTGCCTCAGGCCTTCTACAAAAATTAGCCGAGAGGCAGATGGGCATCGTGGCAGAGGGAGGGACAGAGTCCGACTGGGCAGGTCGGACTGAGAGAATGCCAGAGCTATTAGCCTGCGACTGGAACACAATAAGGTGCTAATCTCAGGTTGCCATGGCAATGAGCCTGTCCATTTCCACATTGTTCAAAACCCAGGAGACCAGGATGCCAAGGAGACTCAGACAAAGCCAGGTCCTTCCTTGGAGAAGCCCCCCAGGATGCTTGGGTCAGGTGTGCACAGAGCCCCAATTTGAGCACACAGCATGAAGGTAAGGAACAACTCCATCTGCTGAAATGGGCTTTGCAGCCAATATTTCTTTCCCTTTGTATAGAGCTGTGAGCAGAGTGCTGAAGGATGGGAGTGCAGCTGAAGTCAGTCGAAGTCATGGTCCTTAACGTGGGGAGCTCAGATCAGCAGTGTCACTCAACACAGATGTAAGGGTCAGCACTGTGCATGGCAGCTTAAGCTGCTGCTTGCAATGCCAGCATCCCATATAGCAGCACCCTGCTAATGGGCATGGAAAGTAGCGGAAGATAGACCAAGTGCATGGGAGCCTGCCAGCCACATGAGAGACCCAGATGGAACTTCAGGCTCTTGGCTTCGGCCTGACCCAGCCCCAACTGTGTAGGCACTTAGGTGAAGAGAAGATCTCTCTGCCTCCATCTATCTTCCTCCCTGTGTCTGTCATTCTCTCTTTCAAGCAAATAATCCAAAAGAGAAAGTGCATGACCACCTTGTACCTCAGTTTATGCATCTATAAAATAGGATTAATGATAGACCTAACGTCCTGGGGTTGCTATGGTGACAGAATACAGTATCAGCACAATGCCTGGCACACAGTGTCTCTGTAAGTGTTGGTCATCAGCATGGTCTCCCCTCTGTGGCCCTCCCTGAATAAGACAGGCAATGCAGGGACAGAGCCATGGGGCTGGTGGTCCTTCCAGGCCTCACTTTCCTCTTTCCCATCCATTGGCTGTCCTGAGCTGCTGCCAAGTTCACTCCCAACTCTGTCCTGCAGAGCTCACCCTGCAACTCAAAATAGGGACAGTGTGGAGAACCAGGGCACCCTCTGCTCTGGCACACCAAGGTCTGAGCACACAGGCCTGGAAAATAGCACTTCCCTGATGAAGAATCCTTCACTCTCTGTCACCCTGCCCACCTGCCCTTCCCTCAACCTTTGCGGGACACAAACAGATAATACACCTGCTTCCTGGGCCCTCAACCATGGCCTCTGCTCGTCCACCCACACATTGCAAAAGCAACTCCCAGTCAGAGGAGTCAGTGCCCCGCTCCCAATGCCAGGCTCCTACTTCCCAGCCTAGAATGTTCTCCCAGGGAGACAACCCACATATGTTAACCTGTCATCAAGTGCTCATCCCCACCCCATCCTCCAGACGGGACCTGGCTCAGGGTCTCATCTCTAGTGTCAACATGAGAATCACCCAGTGCTGCTACCCAGTGTGTAGCCACTGAGAGCCCAAGCTTCTGCTTGCACAGATCACATTGAGCCTTTCATGCATTTTCCTAAACATTCCATCAGCGATTCTGCCATGCAGCCAGGCTGGAGAACAACAGCTATCGTCCAAAGGACACGTCTGCCAGGAGTCCTTCCCAGACCTCCCCATGGACCACACAGGGGTGATGCCTCCTTCAGACACTGCCTTTTCCTCCCAGGATAGCAGCCCTGCTGCTCACTTCTGCCACAACACCAACCCTGCAGTCAGCATGCCTGGATCTCAGCACTGGGAACGACCAGCCAGAGCCAGGCTTTGGCTGTTCATGGCTCCCCCTGCAACCCCAGCCTACCTCTTCACTTTCCCCTTTAGAATCACCCCCAAAAATGCACCTGGGACATGTGATGCAAGAACAACAGTGCTAGGGTGGAGGCCAAAATACCCAAGTTCCAGATCCATTGGTGATTAAAGTCACTGTCCTCAGGGCTCTGCATCCCCCAGATCCCAAACAGGACATTTGGATCAGATATGTCAGAGGTCCTTCCCATCTCCTCCAGGAGCACCCATCTGGAATCCTTGCCTTGGTTTCTTCAGTGGGTGGGGCTGTGGTTAGGGCTGAGCAGGGGCTGAGCAGCTGGATGGGGAGAGCAGTCTGGCAGGGAGAAATCCGCCTACCAATTCGCGTTCACTGAGAAGCTGCTGGCCGCCGCTGAGCTCAGCCCAGGGGGACCACTCCATTTAACCGGACCCAGATTAATCAAGTCTTTAAGCAGATGGCGCTCAGAAATCCTGCAAGCACCCAGAGGGGAGGTGGATCCCTCTGGCCCAAGCCCCACCCTCAGGCACACAAGGAGCCAGCTGGCACTGCCGATGCTGGAGCCTGGTGGGGCTGGAGGAGAGGACTCTGGGGTGGTTCCAGTCCCCAGTCGAAAGTCCCTTCTGGCAGGAATCTGGGGCAACTTCATTTCTGCAGAACTTTGCTGCCCACCTGCACAGTGGGGAGGGTGGGGAAGTCAGATGAAGGGGGCTTGGGGACACGGGGGGTCATATCAAGGTGGTAACACTCAGAACATGTGAAATGTCTGCTTAGTCTTGGGGCCAGGGATATGTGAGTACAGAAGGAGAGAAGGCAACGCATGCCTGCCCACCCCTACCCAAGCAGGAAGTGCCTGCTGTCCCCTACCCTGGCTTAGAGCAACCCCCAAGGGGATTCCTGCTGTATCGTCTCCTGTGGTTTCCCATGGGATAAGCAGGGAAGCAGTCCCCACAGGTCCACCCTGGGTGACCAGTTCTTCAGTACAGCCACTGGCAACAGCTGTGTCCTTGAGGCTGTTTGCTAACAAGTCTTCTGACAGCCAATGCCCAGCCCAGGCAGCCGCTCTGGCTGGTTCCCCAGGGCAGAGAAGTCAGCCCCATTGGCCACCCAGTACAGCCCTGGAGATAGTAGGAGACCATACCCCGAGCCAGGGCAGCTCCAGCACACCATCGGCAGACCTGGAAGATCCCCTGCACCACCGCCTGCAGGCAGGCTGGATAAAGGCTGGGAACACTCTATGGCCAGCCTGGATGGATGTGCTGGGGCTGCTGGGCCTCCCCAAACCCCTGACTTGCCCCATGCCCACAAACTCACCTGGGAAAGAATCATTCAGGCCCAGCAGGTCATTGGCTCTCTGGATCTTCTCCAAGCACATGGCTTGCTCCTTCTTGAAAATGCAATCTGAGTGCATGGCAGTGGCCTGCAGGAAATATGCAGGGTGGGTGATGAGAGGGGATAGGGCGCTTCCTCCTACCCAAGCACTAGAAGCAGCATCCCAGGAGTAGGGACAGAGGCTGCAGGAACAGAGTGCCAGAGAAATCTCAGGACCAGCATGAGTCCCAATGTCCACACCTGGTCTGGAGAGGACTGGACTCCCTGCTAGCATCTCCATTTGTGTGTCTCAGTAGCATGAGCAAGTGCACAGCACTTTGCCAAGGCCACACATTGCACCAAGTACCAGGCCTGCGACTCCACAGTACCATAAAGTCAGTACTGTGCTGATCACTTCCCATCTTACAGTTGGGAAAATGCTGATGGGAACTTGCTGAAAAGCAAGGGCTTGGAAGCCTGGAGAGTCAGGTTGCTTGCCCAAGTATCCTGGCTCCAGACATCATGGGGGCTGCTGCTGCACTCCAGGCATGTGAGGAGCCAGGCACACAGGCTGGGGGACTCAGCAGCAGGCAGGCAGGCTGCAGCAATGGCAGGTGAAGCAGCAGAGTGGGTGGGCAGCTTATTCTCAGAAGGGGAAGTTGAGGTTCAGAGGGTTTAAGGCATGGCTTCAAGCTCAGAACCAAGAAATCCCACAGTCCACACCATGCTGCCATCACAACAGCCACCTCTAAGGACTGTCACTCCAACTCAAAGCCCTCAGGGCAGCGAAGGCTCCCAAGGGGCCATCAGCCAATGCACGGGCAGTCACTTGGGCTTGTGGAAGAACAACCCTGTCTGCTCCCAGGAGGAGGGGTGGCTTTGACCGGGGGCCCCCAGGGAGGCCAGCCAGAGGCAGGGCAGACACCCAGGGCTCTGGGGATAGTGTCATTCATTGCAGGCTGACCTCCCAAGCCATGTACTGGGGGCATCACCTAGGAACCCATTCCACCCTGCAGGTGCGTGGGCTGGAGTCTAGAGGACCCCAAGAGCCCTCTATAGTCCTGATCAGCACTAGACAGTGGAGCAGGCTGAATATTACGCAATTCTCATATCTGCACAGGTCACCATCCTCTATCTGCAGGAATCATTTCCGGTCCAATCAGGTCCGGGTATTGGGAAAGGGACACATGTTTGGATCCCCCAAAATATGGCCAAGTGATGGTGCTGGCAGACACCAGTTCAAGTGGATGGCTTGACTATAGGCACAAAAGATAGGTTCTCTAGCGGCAGGGAGAGTAGTTCAACCAGTGGGCCAGGCAGGGGAACGTCCTGGGCTCTTACCATAGGCAGCAGGAGGAACGCAGCCAGGGAGACCCACAAGATACCAGTCATGATGCTTCGAAAGCAGCCCTTCTGGGCTCTAGCTCCCACCAGTCGTTGCTCAGCCCCGAGGTGACCACAGTCTGGGAGAAAGGAAAGATACGTATCTGGTTACCAGGCCCCTGCCTGCAACTGGCACCTGCCCTCCATACTGCCTCTCTCTTGTCCTTTCATCTCCTGTCTCACAGACACCTGCCAGGCACTGAGCCCAGGTGGCCATCAGCACCACCCTGGCTTGGCCCTGTCTGTCTCCTGGGTTGGACTGGAAAGGATCTCCCCTTCTGCAGCAGATAAGCTGTCTGCCACATCTTGGTACCCTCCCCAAGTGATAAAGCTGTGGCTGGCATACTCACATGCTAGCCCAGAATGACAGGTACCAGTCTCCCTTGCTCTCAGAGAGCAGGCACATGATGACATTGACCCCCATGTCACATGGTAGTGGCAGCACGACATACCACTGATCCAAGAAGCATAGCCCACCCCGATCCTGCTGTTCCATCTTTCCTGGCCATGCCAAGGCAGACAAAGATGACATTGGAGAGGACAGGAGGAGCCAGATTCACAGGAACAGTAGGGAGCTAAGCCATGGCTCCAGCCAAAACTGCCTACTGACACACCACACTGTCCCAAGCCAGATGAATGCGAGTTGCTGTCTCTAGCAGGACCTGTCTAGCCCAGCTGCCCAGCCCAGTACCCTAAACAAGAACACCCTCAGTCCACTTTGCCTTCCAGGATAAAGCCTTGAGCAGTGGCACGGGACATGTAAGTGACTGCTGGAGAGCCTGTTCAGGCCTCAGAGGAGTAGGAGCTCCCATGAGGGCAGGAACACAAGGACTGGGGCCACGGGTAGGGACCACACAGGTTACAGGAGCCCAGCTCGTGCCCTAGGAAAGTTCTCTGCTTGAAAAATGTACCATTGATCCTTAGGGTCTGCATCCCAGCCATGCCGCATCTGGGAAGCCCTTGTACTTGGACCAAGAGGAGCACCTGTCAGGAGAGTTGCCGCAGCCAGCTAAAATAGCAGCAACCACAAAATGTGGGGTGGCAAAACAGCTTGCCAGCAGACACAACCACACTCTGGGATACAAACCTGTGATGTTTCAGTGGCAATTAAGTTGTTACAGGGGAGATGGAGGAACAAACCCGCAGGTGCCTGGCTCACAAAGCCCTGGGGGCTGAACAAAATCCTTCTCCTGTACCCCTGCCAATAGTCCTTGCACGCATATCCCAGCCAGAGCCATGGCTCCCAACTCCATAAGCAAGTAGCCAAAGGGAAGGAACAAGACCCCATTGCAGGAAAGCTCAACTAGAAGGAGCCCCATCTTATCCATCTCAGAGACACCAAGGGAGGTCACAGGTGACAATGAGAGAAGCCCAGAGGACCCTGGCCAGGTCAGTTCAGACAGTCACAAAGGACTGGTATGGGGAGAGGCTGGCAGCACTGGCCTCAGTATTTATGGGCACCCTGAGGCCGAGCCTCTTCCGTTGTGCCTACTCCCAGGGTTTCACAGGCTGCCTCTGGTGTGATGGTGCCATGGGACTTGCTCACCTCCTCCAGCCCCAGCAAGAAACATCATGAGAAAAGAGCATGTCCCCATCCAGTGACACAGGCTGCAGGGCCAGGAGCTTCTCTGTACTGCATTTCTGCTGGAGCTACCCAGGTGGCCTGACTCCTGCTGCAACCCTCTCCTGTTCTCCCCACTGCCCTGTCCCCCCGCACATGGACACACCCAGCCATGAGATGGACATGCAGGATCCGGTAGCTCCCAGGCCTGCACCTCTTCCCTGCCCTCTTCATCAAAGGATCTCAGGAGTCATCTCCTATAGTCTCATTCAGGTGCCCCTCTGCCCTCACCCCCTGCAGGACAGGGCTCAAGAGCTGGCAGTCTCGGGCCATCTGTCTCCAACCCAGGCTTCTGGGAACGGTGCCTAACATGCCTCTCTCAACCTTGTCATCAGCTCCCTAGCCCAGCTGCTTCCACCTGAGAGACCAGGCCAACCCATGCTTCGCTGTCTGCCTGGGCCCAGTTACAGAGGCAGCTTGCCACAATGCCCTCAGCCCATGTCCCAAGACACTCCATGTCAGGTCCAGGCTCTTCCACAGCAGTTGGGATTTGACGACAACCAAAATCCTTCCCTCCTGGTGTTCTGTGGGGTGGACTTGGGGACCCTGGTGCAAGCCACCTCATCTTTCTCTGCCTCTATTTTGTCACCTGTGATATGGAAATAAAGTAGCATCTCCCACCTGGGGCGCACACATGGCAACTACTATCTCCATCTTCCCACCTGACATTCAGGCTTTCTCAAGATAGGGATGGCAGGCCTGGGTGTACCAGGCTCTGTCTTAAGCAATCAGCACCTCAACTGCCCCAAAGCTACAAAACAGGTACTGGCATCCAGAGCAGAGGTGACTGACGCACAGAGAGGCTAAGCAACCCCCCACTCCAGGTTACACAGCAATGGCAGAAGAGCCATGCAGGGAGCCCAAGCACTCTGCCCTGGGGCAGGTCAGGCCCTCTGCTGCCCCCTGTGCCTCCTCAGGAGCAGTGAGTTAGAGACTACAGCCCCGAACTAGACGCTGATAGCATCTCCCCTTGGGGCAGATAGGAAGACTGAGGTCAGAGATCACACAGCTTAGAGCCTGCAAGTTGCCTCCTAAGGAATAGGATGAGTGACAGGTGCCTGGACAGCACCAGGCACTGCCTATCAGGTGGGAGGGACCTCTCTGATGCACCCAGGGCTGGGCCACCTGGCCCCTCCCAGGTTAGTCAGTGATGCCCATGCTCCTCTTTCACAGTGTACAGCAGGAACCAGGAGACCAGAGCAGTCTCCAGCCATGATCCCACCACACCCTGCATTGCACATTAGCTGGAACACACAAGTGTGTGTGAGCCATGTCAGGCCATTCCACTGGTTAGGATCTAAGGCCCTGGGAAACCAGAATATTCTAGCATCCCTCTACCACATGCTTTTCATCCACAAATGTGTCCTGGGAGAAGTCCTCTTCCACACTGACACATTCAGGGCTCTCTCCTAACTTTGCAGGAGGTAGGAGATGGAAGATGAGGGAGGAGGAAGGTCAGAAGGGTAGCAATGACAGGTGGGAGGGATGGGACCGGAAGCTGGCAGGAGCCAGGAGGAGCTGCATGTTTGCTAAGCACCTAGTGGGCAGCACAAGGAGTGGTGGCTATGCTCGCACAGTCACCTTGCCTCAGGACTGACCCTTGAAACCTGCAGCTTCTCCTGAGTATGGACAAAGCCAGCACTGATGGGCGGCTGTCCCAGCACCTAGCCCAGGCAGGACTCACCTGAGGTGCCTGCTGAGCTGTGTGCCTGTGTGATAAGCTTCCTGTTTAGGGAAGCACCCTCTGCAGCCAGGAGCAGAATAAGGAGGTGAGAGGAGGGAGGGCAGGTGCAAAGCCAGCCCCCAGGGCCTCTTCTGGCTCCAGAGATGACCGGATGCAGTGGGAGGAGGAGGGGTTGTGTGGAAAGCTAGTGGATGGAAATAAAGGAGGAGCCTGGATAAACTTGAGAGGGAGGCCTCTCTGGGCTACTCCAGAGGGGGCAGAGAAGAAAAGAGTGGGCAAGGGCAGAGGCAGAAAGGGAAAGTATGCTTCATAACACACATCTAAGGTAGCTGAGCCATCCACAGGGCCCTCTGAAGAGAAAGCATACTGTTTTCTCAGCCAATCTTGTGCTGTGCCCATTAGTCAAGGTAGAATGGTGAAGACACCTAAGAAAATGTGTCTACCAGGACGGGGTAGAATGAAATGCCCAGCTATTCCCCAGGACCAACCTGGCCTCCCAACACCACCTGCAAGAAGCCTGTGGTGGCTGCACCTGCCCCTTTCGATGTCACCGTCCTCTGAGGACTCCTAGCTCTAGGCAGAGGAGCCCCCTCTCCCTGTTGGATGTTTCAGGTCTCATCACAGGTTTTGTGAGTTCCAGTCTTATTGGAAAACCATTCAGAGCACCAGGAAGGGTGCCATGCAGCATCCAAGGTCCCCTGGGCATCTCCGCTCACCATTGCGCCCCTCGCATCTGCAACCTCTCCCCATGTGTCCTTGCTAACCTTGCAGCCCAGGACTTGGCAAGGTCCTCCAGCCAGGCAGATGATGCAGCCTGATGCCTATTCTATGTGGCCTGTGAGCCAGGAAGGGTTTTTAGTTTGCCAGTTGGTCAGAAAAGCATACCCCACTACACACACACAACCTGCTTCATGATCCATGCAAACTCCCTGAAATTCAAATTTCAGCATCTGTAAGTGAAGTTGATCAGAATGCAGGCATGCCCCTCTGCTGTGTCTGGTCTACAGTTGCTCAGGAGACAACAGCAGCAAGACAGCCTTATGTCACAGCACATGGTCCCAAAGCCCCCAATATTTACTACCTGGAACTCCACGAAAAAAGCTGACCACCCCTTTTCTGGGCTTATCTCTCTCTCACTCTCTCTCTCTCTCTCTCTCTTTCTCTCTCTCTCACACACACACACACATGCATACACACACATGCACAGAGGCCATCACATATACATGCACACACCCATACACATTACATAGTACACACACATACATAATACACAAAATTCATATAATATACATTCATATAGCGTATACACAGACACACACATACACACATGCACACAGATGCACACACACAATGCATGTACATACACACACCTTTTCCAGTCAACTAAAGGTGTGTGGAGAGGTTCATGAAGAAAAGCCATGTGCTCTCCTTGGGTCAATACCAAGGAGCCCTAGGCATGCCCAGTCCATGCGGAGGGAGCGTGTGTGTGCGTGTGCGTGTGTGTGTGTGTGCTGCAGTGTTGCTCTCTGTTTTGCCCCAGTTCCCTGGAAGGTGTCATGGGATGCCTCTACGCCTCCCCAGCTGTGTGTCACTCCCTCTCTGTGTGTCACTGTGGGGGTGGCTGTCACCGTATGTTCTGACGGCATTCAGAGCTCGGTACAAACACATCGCCACTGAGGAGCTCCCAGGCTCCTTGTTGCCAGGCAG